CCTCCTACCAGTCTTAATGTGGCTTCCTTTTTAAATTTTTAGTTGTAGAACTTCCATTAGCTTGATTTTAGGCAGTTCTGAATGAGGGTTGTTCTATAGTTTAGTTGTAATTTTTATATCTACCGTAGCATTTTTATATAAAGCAAAATTAGCAAGGAGAAGAGGCACATGGAGTGAAGTCCAGAGGAAACCAGCACCATCTTTCAAGGGTCCTCTCCCAGTAGGGTGACACAGGACACTCTTAATTCCCCCAGCAACAAGTTTTAGCAACATCTGTGAAATTCTGTCTAGCAGGAAATCTCATGAAAGACCCAATGCCCAGGGATCTGCATTGGGGAATGATCATGAAAGCACCTTCTGACTCCCAGAAGCAAAGCAAATGTTCAGCATAAACCGCACTGTTTGCACAAACAGCTAGGCCGTTCTTATCATTTAGAATGGCAGGAACCCTTCCAAACTCCAAGTTCTAGAGCCAGCCAAGGGCCAACCTGGCAAGTACAGTAGCCACCCCTTATCCGCGGTGTCACTTTCCACGTTTTCAGGTACCAGCAGTCAACTACAGTCTGAAAATATTAAATGAAAAAAAATCCTGATATTTTGAAAGAGACCACATTCACATAACTTTTATTACAGTGTACTGTTATGGTTGTTCTTTGTTATTATTAGTTATTGTTGTTAATCTCGTACTGTGCCTAATTTGTACATAAAACTTTATCATAAGTTTGTATGTACAAGAAAGAACAAAGTATGTATAGGGTTTGGTACTATCTGCGGTTTCAGGTTTCCACTGTGGGTCTTAGAATATATTCCCTGTTAATAAGGGGAGATTGCTATAGTTGCTCATGTTTTTTTCCTCTGTTCTTGGTAAGCTGCCAACAAGAAATGGTCAAAACATTACTAGTCACTTTCAATAATTAGCAAGCATTTAGAATAATCCTATGAAAAATAAAATGTTTAATATGCACAGAATAATAGCTATTATAAAAGAGGTTTCTCTGTCTTGAAACTGTCTTTATTAAATAAGTCTGAGAGCACTGAGAACTGGCATGGTCCTTGAATTTTTTTTTTTAAGTCGGGAATAAGAGGAAGAGAGACTCAAAATATAAAGGATAATTGATCCACAAATGTAAAATATCCCTTTACTCTTTGTAATAGAAATTACAGTAGTCACAACACTCAGAAGGAAAATAAAAACAAAAATGAAGAGAAAATAAACAAAAATAAATATTCGCTTATTTTACATTTTGCCATCAGTCTCTCTATTCTTACCTGGAGGAACATATGGAGTCGTTTAGATATAGGCAAATAGAAATAGAAGCTTAGAAATTGTTATTCCATTACTCATAATATGTGTCTGTCTGCCTCTCTCTCTCCTCCCTCCCTCCTTCTCTATCTCTCTCCCCCACACTATGACCCAGCAATACATTCCTACATAGTTCCCAAGAGAAATGAAATGTGCGCGGGGAATTAAATTACCAGTCACCTTTCTCCATCCCCAATGCTAGCTAGCAGTGTTAAATCAATGCAGTTTCCCTAAAAAAAGAATACATAGACCCGCACAGGCACTGTCTTATGACTCATTGACAGGAAAGGAAGAGCTAAGACCCAACTTCTCTCCCAGGTAAAAAAGAAACTTTAAAAAGGTAAGGCCTGAAATAGACAAAATCTCCCATTTTTAAGGGAGCAGAGGCCACTAATTTAGCTTAAGTATCCCAATGGAAGATCACATGGCATTCTATGCAGTAAGCAACAAAGTTCCCATTCAAGTTCCATCCAAAGCGACTAGTAGTATCCGGAGAATCACCTCCCTCCCCTCAATGTATTTTGAGAGAAAGAAAGAAAGATCTTTAAGAAGATCCAAGTCATACCTATGAACATATTTGACTCAATGCTCACTTATTCAAGTTTACAAAACTCCCAGTTCACTTGTCAGCAACAAAATCTGACCACAAGGAGAGATGCCCACAAACTGCTTTCACATTGGCTGACACACCGGTTCCAAAGGAGGATACACCCAGCTTGGCATTCTGCATCTGGGTCTTGAAGGAGGAGGAAACAACATGGTGCCCTCTGATAATAGTTCCCAAAACTTTAAGCTCGCACAGTCCAGTAAAAGTAAAAACAACTTGGGGAGTAAAAGGGAGGATACTGATACACAACTGTATATAAAAGCATTTACCAAGTGAGAGAGATTTAAAACACATATCATCCATTATTGTCATAATTTTCTAACAGAAAAAAAATTTTAATGTCAGAAAGTAAAAAGGAAATAATCTTTAAAAAGAGATTATGTCCTTTTGCCTTTCACCATATCACAAGAAAATGGCTAGATAGATTTTCACCAAACATATTATGTATGGTTTGGATAATGTAATAGGGTCAGCTACCTGGACACAGAAGTAGACTACATTTCCCAACTTCCCTCCTGGTTAGGTGTCACCATGCGACGAAGTTCTAGTCGATGGAATGTGAGTAGAACTGACCTACACCACTTCCAGCCTGGGCCCTAAATCTCTCCCACAAGCTCCTCCACGTTCTCAACCTTCCAAGGCTAGACAGTGACGCCCAAGGCAACGTTAAAAGTCATGTGTTGGCCCTGGCCAGTTTGGCTCAGTGCTTACAGCATCGGCCCATGTACCAAAGGGTCATGGGTTCGATTCCCAGTCAAGGGCACGTACCTGGGTTGCAGGTTCGATCCCTGGCCCGGGTCAGGGTCATGTGGGACGCAGCCAATCACTGTGTCTCTCTCACACTGATGTTTCTCTCTTTTTCTCTCCCCCTCCTCCCTCCCTTCCACTCTAAAAATTAATGAAAAATATCCTCAGGTGAGGATTAACAAATAATAATAATAATAATAATAATAATAGCCGTGTGTTGACAAAGGGGGAGCCTCCTTCAGCCTAAACAGTGGACAGCACTGTTCAACCTCAAACCACTTTGGCTGATCATTTAAGAGAGTAATAAATTTCTAATATGTTTACACCATTATATATTTTGAGATATATTATTACAGCACTTAGCACACACATGATTTAACTTAAAACATGGGCTAAGAATCAATAATGGGAAAGGAAATCACCAGCATGGTCTTAATGATTTAACAAGTTAATGATTCTCCCAAACAATGAAGAGACAAGCTAGTCTCAGAATAAAGGGGAGTCCTTCAAAAAAGAATAAATTTTGTTTTATGAAAAACTCATTACATGGTCCATATTTTTCTCAATTCACCTATTCATGAAAATTTTGTTGTAAACCAAGATTCAGCAATCACTGAGTATGGAAAAAATCCTTTCCTGAAGAGCCAAGTTCTGATTTTGACTCCTCTACAACTAGTTGCATATATTTGATTAATAAGACTGCAAGTCTCTCTGGTTCACTTTGATTCAAAATTCATGAAAAACTGTACTAGCCTACTGACATACAATAAAGGACAGAATGAGAAGAAAAATTTTCCAGGTCCCTAAATGACAGCCTTCTCACAGAGAACAAACTATAAAGCAATCCATGTGCACTTACCATTAATGCCCCATTTCATGAATACTAACACAGTTTGAAAAAGGACACTAGTCCTCTCTACCATTAACCAGCCACCACCTGAACTGGGCAAGTCCCTTATACTCTCGGGCCAATTTGATAAAAGACTCCGACAGCAGGGCCATGTGGCTCAGTGGTTGAGCGTCCACCCATGTTCGACTTCGGGTCAGGACACATGCCCAGGTTGTGGGCCCAATCCTCAGTAGGGGGCGAGCAGGAAATGGTCAATCCTTGTTTTCTCTCACCTCTCTCTCTCCCTTCCTCTCTTTCTAACACCAATAAAGAAAAAGAAAAAGAAAAAGAAAAAAGACTCAGACCAGATATGCTCTCATCTAATCCTATCTCCTCAAAATGCACCATAAGACTCTGGGTACAGGCCAGGAATGCCTCACCCACCACCCACTGGGCTGAAATCCTACTCAATGTTAAAAGTCTTGTTCAGATGTCACCTGCTTTGGGAAGCCTGTCGGGCAAAGTTGGCCTCTCTTTACACTTTACAGACACCTCTATATAAGAGCCCTCACCAAAATGTATGGTAATCCTCTGTTTATCTGCCTTGTCTCCCAGACTAGACTTTGAGCTCCTCAACGTCACAGTTCTGGCCTCACTGGAATTTGTACACCAGCTCCCAGCACAGTGCCTACCACATGCAGGTACTCAAAGAATACATGTGAATAAACGCATTAATTAATACCTAATGTCCTTCTACCTATAAAATGCTAGGCTCGGCCCAGCCGGTGTGGCTCAGTAGAGTGTCAACCAATGCACCAAGAAGTCACTGGTTCTATTCCCTGTCAGGGCACATGCCCAGGTTGTGGGCCCAATCTCCAGTGGGGGGGTATGCAGGAGGTGGCCCGTGAATGTTCCCTCTTATGGATGTTTCTCTCTCTCCCTCTCCCTTCTTCTTTCTCTAAAATCAATAACGAAAAAAAGTTAAATAAATAAAATGCTAGGCTCCATGTTTTCCCAGTGCAAATGAAATAATGGATAGAAAATTGTTTTATTTAGTCGTGCAATGTTGTGAGTACGGTGATTGGTGCCGGGATCATAGAAATAATAAAAAAAACCGTCCCTAATCCCATGGCAGCCCGCAAACACGAACACATGTTGTTGTTGTCTGAGCAAGGTCAAAACAGAGCCAGCTCCGCTTCCCCCGTCACTTCCTTTCTAGCAGCTGCAGCTCTCTGCCTCTTTCTCCCCGTCTCCATTTCTCCCTGAAACTGCGACCTCTGTCCCAGCTGGCAAAAGTGCCAAATTCAGAGCCAACCAACCACGCGCAAACCCTGCAGGCCTGCAGGTACCCTCTGCCCTCCTCCCCGCCAGTGTAACTCCATCTGGAACGAGGGGCAGCCCCACCCTTACCCCCGACCCGCTCTGGAATCAGGGGTACAGCCCCGGAACGTCCCGCGCAGGGGAAGCCAGGGCCGTTACTCGCAGACGCAGTTTTCGGAGAGCACAAGGCGTACCTGCGAGGCCCGCTGCTCCTTCCAGTGTTTCATCTGGTCGCTCGCGGGATCCCGGCTGTCCGCCATGGTGTCAGTCTAGCACGTTGCAGGAGGCCCCGGCTCACGGCACCGTCAGCAGGCCAAGCGTCTACAGCCCCGAGCCGAAGTCGGTGACTTCAGATTCGGCCAATCAGCCCCACCCCCTCGTCCCGCCCCCTCGGGAGGGCCGCCTCTGATTGGCCACTCGAGCGCCAGGCAGGATGGGATTAAAGCCAAATAGGGGCGGGAACAGAGGGGTGAGGGGCAGGGGCTAGAGGGAGGTGCGACCCCGGGACTGGGAGAGGCTGGGAACTGTGTGAAAAGGAGGGGAGCCTTGACCCTCTGACCGCCAAACTCCAGGGTTAATGAACCCCGGCGGATCCCCGGCATACTGGGACTTGACTGTCACCTCTGGTTATCAGCATCTTACAGGCTGCACTGGGACGCGGCTTTGGTGGCCTGCCAGTTTGCTGAGGCCCTGCTGGGTGGAGCTTTGAACACAGTAAATATGCTCGCAGCTCTTCAAAAATCAGAAATCCTGGGTTGAATTCCTCTGTGCAAAATTAGGTTTTGACATACCCTAATGTTAGCATTATTTGCAACCGAAGGATTGATGGGAATTTGGAATAAATACTGACACTGATTCTGCAACTAAGGCTTATTTAGTAATCTTACTTTCAGATGTTATGTTATGTTTTCTTTAAGACAGACTATGCCATTTTGAAAAAAAAAAAAGAAAGAAAGAAACATTGACAAGTTCTTCATGGTTTTAATAGTCTAAAATCCATAGCAAGAAAGGTCAGCCTTTTAGGGTCCCCTTTGGGTTAGCAGCTCCCCTTTTTTCAGTGTCTACTATGTGCTGGAGGCTGCTAGATGGTTGCCAGAGTATCATGTAATCTTAACAATCTCGTGATGAAAACTTTGTTATTCCCATTTTAAATATGAAGAATCTGATGCTTAAGAGAGTTGAAGGAACTTGCCTAAAGCTTATATGCATATAAGCATAGCCCATGGACACAGACAATAGACAGGTGAAGTCCTGGGGTGGGAGATGGGTAGAGAGGGGTAAATTGGGGAAAATGAGGGACATCTGTAATACTCTCAACAATAAAATAATTTTTTTTAAAAAAAGCTAACAAAATGTCAGAGCCTAGATCCTTGGCCGTCGGATTTCAAAGCCTGGGAACCTGAACCACTATATATCCTGCCTTTCCAAGAATATTGAAAAATTCTGTGTCTTTAAAGAACAATATAGTTGAAAAGTAAAATATTTAGGAAGTCATTGACTAATTTGTCATTGTAATCAAATGGATTGAATGATTCCCCCCACTCCTCAGGTGTTAAGATTTATCTTTAAAGTTGAATAGTAAAATATTTAGTAAGTCATGGACTAGTTTGTCATTTTAATCAAATGAATTGAATGATTTTTTTCTCCCTTCGGGTGCTAAGATTTATCTTTAAATGCCTTGATATATAAATATACTATCATTTTTAAATTAAAAGTCTCAACTTTTAAGTTTGGTTGTTTTCAACCATACTACATATGGAACTTTGTATTCACTCCTAAAGGGTGAATATATGGTAGTATAAATTTCAGACGCTCTCGATTTTACCAAAGTGAAATATCAGGAATCTAAATCAGCGATTTTCAACCTAGTTCATCTCATGGCATACATAAATTAATTACTAAAATTTTGTGGCCCACCAAAAAATATATTTTTTGCCAATCTGACATAAAAAAAAAGAAAAGTGTAATTTGATTCATTCACACCCAATGGCTACTGTTGTGTTGGCTGTTGTCCTTTTTTTATTTGACTATCTAAGGCAGTGGTTCTCAACTTTCCTAATACCGCAACCCTTTAATACAGTTCCTCATGTTGTGGTGACCCCCAACCATAAAATTATTTCTGTTGCTACTTCATAACTGTAATTTTGCTACTGCTATGTCTTAGGCGACCCCTGTGAAAGGGTCGTTTGACCCCCAAAGGGGTCTCAACCCACAGGTTGAGAACCGCTGATCTAAGGGGAAAGAGGCAGTGCCCCTGACTAAATAGTCAGGTATAGAATATTTTTAAAATTCTTGTGGCACACTAGTTGAAAATCACTGATCTGAATCATAAAACTTACCTTCTGAAGTTCACTGGAAAAGTAGCCTACAGATTGTTCTTTAGTGCCCTATATTTTTCCTTTATTACACTTAACACAATTGTAAAGATGCTATTAACTCTGTGATTGATGTGATGTCTTTTGCTACCCACCCCATCCACACATATAAACTCTAGAAGGGCAGGGACCCTTGATTTGCTCTCCGTTGTATCCCTACACACCTAGAATTGATTGAGTATTCTGTGCCAGAGACTGTTCTAAGCTTTTCATGTGCATTTGCTCAGTTAACCCTCCCAACAATCCTACAAGTTAGGTCCTAATAGTACTCTCATGTTATAGATTAGGAAAATGAGGCACAGGGAAGTTAAATAAATAATTGGCCCAAGGTTACAAAATTATTAAGAGATAGAGCCAGGATTCTAGCCCTGCCCATTCATTTCCAGAGTCCATGCTTTGTTGAATAAATAAATGTTGACAAAATCAAACTAATCATTTTCCTCATTAACTAAAATAAATACCAACAAAGTAAATAAAAAGAGACCTGGAGTCATGTGCTAACCTTTGTTCTTTATGTAAACATTATCCTGTGTTTATTTTCTTTTGTTTTCTCTATTTCTGTTACTGTTGGTTTGGATTCCTGAGGAATTGTTTTCAGCAAAAGAGAAATGGAGACGCAAGATACTTTCAGATCATGTCATATCTTGTATGTTAAAATAAGGAATGTGCTTACAAGTACCGACAATGAGTTTATATTGGCTACTCATTGGATTTATTACTATAATTTACATATAGTTTAAATATGAACGTTTCTAAAAATCAGCCCTAGTTTAAAAATACATTAAACCATACCGGTCTCACTCCTAATGCTAATTCCAAATGACTGGTCCCAGATTTTTATATTTTATTAATATAAACACATACGTATTTTTGTTGGTATTGAATAGAATTGTTATTCAGAAAACTCTCTTCTCTGATTGTTTAGAACCTAATGAAATAAAATGTACTGAAACATAATATTATTAATCTTGATATCATAAATCTAACACTAAGCTTACAAAATGGGCCATATAATAAATGTTTAAGAAAAAGGTTGAGTACTCAACTAGGAACCTTTATAGGCAAATTTTCTTTCATCAGTATTTGGAAGAAAATAAGATGGAAAGAATGAACTAAGTCTTATTGGATGACAGGTATATAAAGCAGTATGAAGCCCTGGCCAGTTTGGCTCAGCGGTTAGAGCGTCTACCCTTGGACCAAAGAATCCCAGGTTCAATTGCGGCCAAGGGCATGTACTTCAGTTGTGGTTCGTGTCATGTGCAACCAATCGATGTGTCTCTCTCACATCATGTTTCTCTCTTTCTGTCTCCCCCTCCAACTCTATCTGAAGATTAATGGAAAAATTTCTTTGGGTGAGGATTTAAAAATAAATAAAGAAGCATGAGGAGTAACAGAAACCCAGATAATTCTTTGTTTCTGTTCTGATTCCACCCACCCTCAGAGGGGCTGAGAATGTCCTACATATTTCAATTTTATTCTCTTCACAATGTCCTTATGAGGTCAAACTGGGGGTACAGAGGGAAAAAAAAAAACTTCTACAATGCAGAAGCCCTTTGAGGGAAGGGCAGTGGACGCCACCACAGGTGTGTGATCCAGCCATTGGGGACTAGGCCTGAGCAGGCAAGAGAAGGAAGTGAAATTTGCATTAAAAAGTACCAGCAGTTTTATATGCAGTGATGGCATGTACCCTCTGCTCTGCCTGTTTTGCTTTACCACATCTTACTCTCACTTTAATAAGAACAATGATTTAGGAGGTAGCCCAGATGACCCTTAGGGTCTGGTAATAGCCTAGGGGGTGGAAAATCAATGAGCCCTTTCTTCCCTAAGCCACATGTGCTATGCTCTTTGACCTGAGTGTTAGAGAAAAAGTAAACACAGAAACAAGAATTTGGAATGTGTTATTACCTAAACTTCTTTTTTCTGATTTTAAAAGGCATGTATGCTATCATTCAGAACCACCTGACATCGAGTTGAATGGAAGTCCTACAACTATGAAATTAAAGAAGAAGCCACATCAAGACTGGTAGGAGAGGTAGAGGTGGAACAGGCTGGTCCCACGACGACATGTGGCGGATAAAAATCAGGAGGACACCTTGGCTGGGCAGGTCCTTTCTGAGGAGTAAGGGATCCCTGTCCCACACCAGGCATCCAGCTCAGGGTTCCAGTGCCAGGAAGAGAAGTCCCCATCATTTCTGGCTATAAAACCAGTGGGAACTGAGGCTCAGGGAGGCTGAGGCTGCTGGAGCCTCAGGCAGCTCTTCTTAAAGGACCCACGCACAGACTTACTCAGACTCACTACTTCTGGGCTCCAGCGTTGGGGAGGCAGCTTGAGGGGTGCCAGAGACGTACAGGGAAGAACTGAACTGTTCAGCAGTGGGGCAAGAGCTGGAAGGGCAGCTTTCTCCTGGACAGACTTGCTGTGGGAGGCCCTTCCCTGGAGCAGATTACAGCCATATCTGGGAGTCCAGCAACCTGGCTCACACTGGTTGCCCCACCCTGGTGATTCCCTGAGGCCCTGCCCCACCCAATCTTTGGGCCCACCCAAGCTGTTTCCAGTGGCTTTACCATAGGATTGGCCTGTCTTGGATCCTGCTTAGGATTTTCCTAAATTCTTTCAAACAAGCAGTATCTGGTCTCAGCAAGCCCCATACCTCTCGTTAAGTTTCCCCAGGCCTGGCACTAGAAGCAACCAGCCTTGGTACACAACTTGGCTTTTCCTGGGCCCCTCCAAGCCCAGTACAAGAAGCAGCCAGGCCCTGGCCGGTTTGGCTCAGCGGTTAGAGCGTCTGCCTGCGGTCCGGAGAGACCCGGGTTCGGTTCCCGCTAAGGGCATGTACCTCAGTTGCAGTTTGTCCCCGGCCCTGGTTGGTTGTGCGGGTGGCAGCCACTTGATGTGTCCCTTTCGCATCGATGTTTCCCTCTCTCTCTTCCTCTCTCTCCTTCCCACTCTATCTGTACAAAAAATA